CCTAGAAACCCCAGCCAGCAGAGCTGATGGTGAAGGCTTTTGGGAGTTGCAGTCCAAAAACATCTGAGTAACAAAGGTTAAGAACTACTGATTTAAACCAAACTGCCAGAGCATGCAACAGTACCTGGGAAATTCTATTTATTTCCCATCTGCTGGGAGGTTTACCATCAACTTTGGAAGGAAAAAGGAAACTAGAAATGTGTGTGGCAAAGCATGACATAGTCCCTGCTGATCAGAAAGTCCCTGGGCTTCCACCCTGTGAGCCCTGGATCGGCTATACTGCTGGGAACCAATTAAAAGATGCACTTGGGTTTACATCCATAGGTAAGCAATGTGACATGCATTCCTATAGTATTCCAAATGACAAGATGATGACAATGAATCCTACAGATCAGGGGTCATCAGCCCCAGTCCACAGTCCAGTGTTGGTCTGTGGCCTTGCCGGAACTGGGCCGCAGATATGGATCTCCACACACCCCCAATTGCACGTGGAGTGGTGGTGGTGGAAATCAACAACCTCCAATATGCAGATGATACCACTCTGATGGCAGAAAGTGAGGAGGAATTAAAGAACCTCTTAATGAGAGTGAAAGAGGAGAGGACAAAAAATGGTCTGAAGTTCAACATAAAAAAAAATCTAAAATCATGGCCACTGGTCCCATCACCTCCTGGAAAATAGAAGGGGAAGATATGGAGGTAGTGACAGATTTTACTTTCTTGGGTTCCATTACCACTGCAAATGGTGACAGCAGCCACAAAATTCAAAGACGCCTGCTTCTCGGGGGGAAAGCGATGACAAACTAGACAGCACCTTAAAAAGCAGAGACATTACCTTGCCAACAAAGGTCCACATAGTCAAAGCTATGTTTTTTCCAGAAGCAATGTATGGAAGTGAGAGCTGGACCATAAATTGATGCTTTTGAATTGTGGTGCTGGAAGAGAGTCTTGAGAGTTCCCTGGACTGCAAAGAGAACAAACCTATCCATTTTGAACGAAATCAACCCTGACTGCTCACTGGAAGGACAGATCCTGAAGCTGAGGCTCCAATACTTTGGCCACCTGATGAGAAGACTCCCCAGAAAAGACCCTGATGCTGGGTAAGTGTGAAGGCAAGAGGAGAAGGGGACGACAGAAGTTGAGATGGTTATACAGTGTCACCGAAGCTACCAACATGAATTTGACCAAACTCCGGGAAGCAGTGGAAGACAGGAGGAACTGGCATGCTCTGGTCCATGTGGTCACAAAGAGGCAGACACGACTTAACGACTAAACAACAGCAACAACAACAACAGGTGCTTAAATCCGTTGGAAGGTTTTCCTTGTACTTTGTACATCTAACATATTATCTTGCTTTTGTGTAAGAGGATCTTGGCTTTTCATATTACTCACCTTTAATGCATCCACTAGAAACAGCTCACCAAAATGTGCACAAGATAAGAACTAATGAGAAAGCAGAAATAAAATATGCTTGCCTCACCCACCTGATTTACTGACCTTGGAAAGACAAAGGCTGTGTCAACCTTGCTTCAGCTACTTGAGCCCATCGAGATCAAACTCAGGTCATGAGCACAGTCTGGTTGCTATACTATAGTTTAACCACTGCGCCATTATGGCGTGCCATTTGCTTAAAATGATTAAGCAAAGGATATGTCCAGACTTGTTCATTGGGTGCTTTTCTACTTTGCTATTATCAAAGCCCCAGAATGCCTCCCTTTTCACTAGAGTAGATAATGTTGTCATTTGTCTGTAGCCCTTCCATGTTTTCCTTCCAAGAAAATCCATGAAAAATCCACTGGGGCAGGTTAGGTAGGCTGAAAGAAACTTAGCCCTACAGCAAAGTCAAGGTTGAGTCAATGGTGGAAAATACTTGGGTTTTTAGACTACAGCTCCCAGAATCTGGCATCCATCATTACCTTCTTAGAGTCCAAACAGCAAACATCTCCTGTCACATGATTTGAGCCAATAACAGACTGTCAAAAAGAGGGTGGATGCAGATAATCATTGGCCCTGGGTGGAATGTTTCTCTAAAGAAATACTTTGCACTTTAATGTTTCCCCAAAAATATAAGGAATTATTTTCTCTCTACCCTAGAGATATAATATAAATTGTGAGACCAGAAGTGTGTGAGAGAGACCCCTGTCACAGGAGTGCTGTCCCTCCTGCCAACCGCTGTGAAAGAAAGTCAGACCCCACCATTTCCTCCACCCAGGAAGACAAGACAGCCTAGACCAGACACGGGGAACATAGACAACGGTTTAAATGAACTAATGGTTAAAGAGACCAGGACTCTCTTGGCGGGCACAGGAGAAAAAGGGCGGGAAGTAGTGGAGGCAGGGTTGGGAGATATAAAAGGAGAAGAAGGGGAGTTACCGGGTAATTGGGAATGGATTTGGATAGAAGACCCTTGGATGGGGCAAGTGGAAAGGGTTCCAAAGGAAGAAGTGGATGCACAGAGGAGGAGAGATCTCACTTCCAAGCCATCATATTGGGGTGATAAAGAGACAAAAGAGTGGCGGAAGAAGTTAAAGGAAGAGAAGGGATGGGGCAAGTGGAAAGGGTTCCAAAGGAAGAAGTGGATGCACAGAGGAGGAGAGAACTCACTCCCAAGCCATCATATTGGGGTGATAGACAAAAGAGTGGCGGAAGAAGTTAAGGGAAGAGAAGGAGAAGTTTGAGAGGGAGCGGAGAGAGAGATTGGAATGGAGGATGTGGGAAATGCATCAGTGGGGATTTGGGAGACCCCCATGGCAGATGGGGGAACCCACCCGGGAGTGTGACTGGGTGGACTTTCGAGAGGAGGACACCACCCCCCTATTGGAAGGTGATAGACAAAAGAGTGGCGGAAGAAGTTAAGGGAAGAGAAGGAGAAGTTTGAGAGGGAGCGGAGAGAGAGATTGGAATGGAGGATGTGGGAAATGCATCAGTGGGGATTTGGGAGACCCCCATGGCAGATGGGGGAACCCACCCGGGAGTGTGACTGGGTGGACTTTCGAGAGGAGGACACCACCCCCCTATTGGAAGGAGAGGAAGGATTATTATTAAACCCGGACAACCCGCCTGAGTGGCCTGGTCCTTTGAATGTTCAGAGTGGAAACCCTTTTAAGTTTGAAGACTGGAAACCTCCGGTTTACTGGTTGTCTGATGGGGAGAAAGTTTGGAACATGTTCGTTGATGCTGAACTGTTATTAAATAATCCAATAAATGTTACCCTGTTGTAAAACCTAAGAAATCTGGTGATTTATTTGGAGTAAGTGTAGAGCCACACTTAGAAGCCTCACATAAATACATTTCCATTTTAAATGTGCAGATCATTAAAAATGGAAACAGCCTTGTATGAGGAAGGCTATTAACAATGTTAGAAGAACCATTAAATTGTTAATTAGCTTACATATCATTTAGTGTCTCAGAAAGGTACTTGCATGAAGTTTTTGCAGTATGAAAATCTATTTGGTTGGTTGGTTGGTTGGTTGGCTGGCTAGCTGGCTGGCTGGCTGGCTGGTTTGTTTGGTTGGTTGGTTGGTTGGTTGGCTGGCTAGCTGGCTGGCTGGCTGGCTGGTTTGTTTGGTTGGTTGGTTGGTTGGTTGGCTGGCTAGCTGGCTGGCTGGCTGGCTGGTTTGTTTGGTTGGTTGGTTGGTTGGTTGGCTGGCTAGCTGGCTGGCTGGCTGGCTGGTTTGTTTGGTTGGTTGGTTGGTTGGTTGGCTGGCTAGCTGGCTGGCTGGCTGGCTGGTTTGTTTGGTTGGTTGGTTGGTTGGTTGGCTGGCTAGCTGGCTGGCTGGCTGGCTGGTTTGTTTGGTTGGTTGGTTGGTTGGTTGGTTAACCTGACATCCGTGCAGGTCTTTGAAAGTGAGTGCATCTGAATCTAATCAGATGTACTTTGTAATTGCTGTACTACAGAAGAAATTAATGCAGATTTTAGCCTGTTTTTCAATATAAAGCAGGTTTTGAACTCTGCATAGATAATGGCCAAGAAACTTTTATTCTTGTTACATAGTTTCTATGTCTCATCTGAAATTATTTTCTTACATTAGGTAATAAAGGATCAATATTAGTATATTAACTCATATGCCATTTTTGGTGGCCTCCCCTGCAAATTACAGAGCTTTGATGATGTACTTACATCTAAGAATCTGGAGTCTTCTTCTCTATGCAGTTTCCAAAGGTATAACCATATTAGTAGGGTGGCCAGTTACGAGTCACCAAGGAAGGAAGGAAGGAAGGAAGCAAGGAAGGAAGGAAGGAAGGAAGGAAGACATTGGTTGTATAAGGCTACATGTGCTAATTTTATGCACAGATATAAAACTATGTGCAAATAATTTTTTTAAAATAATTTAAATGGAATTATAATGCATATAACTCAAGTGGAAAAGAGTGTAACATGTGATCGTTGGGTCTGCTGTCCAGATGCTTATTGTGAATGGGCAGCTTCAAGGTCACTTGAAGATCAGTCTTCTTATGGTACTTTAACATAGTGTACAGGCAGCTGTTCAAATAGACACATCTTTTTTTAAAAAAGACTGTCTTCTAGCAGCCCTTCATAAAGAAAACTGCTCTTTGATTTGGTTTGGTTGGGTTTTTAAGAAGTATCGTCTCTCTATATGCTAACCGGTTGCAACAAAAAAACAAAACAGTGTCCTGTAGTGCTCTAAAGACTAACACATTTGTTATTACATGAGGTGTCATGGATCTGGGATCAAAGGCAACACTCCGCAAAATGGTGGACTCAGCCATGAATTTGTTAAAGATCCTATTGGACTCCTTGTTCTTTTTCCTTCTATATATATAGTAGGTAAAAGAGGCACATTGCAAAAATAATCTTCCACTGCTTAGAAGGGTGTTTTCCATTTGTATCTAAACTACTGGGTGTCTTGTCCTTTCCTGTAAAATATTAACAGAGATCTCTGGTTGTCATGGCATATTCAGAGGTTGGTCTGAATGCAATCTCACTGGGGCGGGGGGAAGAGATGCAAAAAAATGAGATCACGACAACGTAGCCTTATAAATAACCAGAGCACCAGCTTGTTAGCAGGCACAACATCTCTGAAGGAAAACCATCCTGAGGTGCGATCCCAGACGCAAGTGGACTGGGGGTAAAATAGAACAAGAAGCTCTTTTTTAAAAAGGGGTCCCAGGAAAGGAGCTTTTTCTTCCTTCAGTGGAGTCAGCAATATTGTTTGGAAACATGTGTTGTGGAGGATGTGCCAAGTGCCTCGGAGTTACTCTTCTCCCTCTGGCTGTCCTGTGCACCATTGCCAATATTTTGTTGTTTTTCCCTGGAGGAGAAATCATAGATTCTGACCATATTACAGATGAGGTCTGGTACTTTGGAGGTATCCTGGGTTCTGGTGTACTGGTGAGTACCTCAAGTGTCATTTTGTTCACATGCTTATTATTGGCTAACATTTACAAAAGTCACTAAGACTCATCTGGCATGTTACGGTTTATGTTGGGAATTCAGTGGCCCATTTGTTCAATATAAATAGCCTGGGAATTCAAACACTGTATAATTTGAAACAAAATTAAATGTTATATTACAGACAGAAGCTTCTTGCTTAATGTCTCCAGTTAGCCTGGCTTTTGTTAATAAAGAGATGAAGATTACTTTGCCATATCAGCATTAGTGTTCTACTCCATCATCGTTTTTGTTTAAGCAATAGTGGAAGCAGATGGCTGTTTCATTGAAGACATATAAAGTTGCTTCCATAAAATATGTTGCTGAATGATGATTTAAACTTGAGAGTGAATCTCATTTCATTCAGTGGGATTTATTTCCAAGTTAATATGCTTAGTACTACATCACTCAATTGCAGTTATTCGGCTGCTTGCTCTAGTCTCTAGATCTCTGGGCTGTAATATTGGTAATAATGAAGAGAGATTACTATTCAGGCTTCTGTTTAAACTGAACTAAAGGGAGAAAGATCTAGCATGAACGTACATTGTCTCTTGTCATCAGATGGTGTTTCCTGCCTTGGTCTTTTTGGGTCTTAAGAATAATGATTGCTGTGGATGCTGCGGCAATGAAGGCTGTGGAAAGAGGTTTGCAGTAAGTAAAAAAAATCTAACTTGCAAGTAATATCTAAGACAGACATATATTATTCACTCACCCCTATCAGAAAATTAAACATTGAATCACTTTGCACATTTATATTCTGCCCTTCCTTCAAGCAACTCATTTTCTTCTTCCTCATTTTTAACTCTCAATTCCATCAGGTAGATTAAGCTGGAAATGACAGGTCCAAACTTACCCTCTGAGCCTTGTGAATGGATGGGGGCTTGAATCCAGCTGTTTCCAAGACTAATATTTTATCCACTGCACTATGCTGGTGTACTACAGGGTAATTCTGTTAAAAGGTATAAAACTGGTCCACTTCATCCAGAGAGATCAATTACATCATCAGCATTATCAGCATTATCAAAAATCATCTTCTAAATGGACATAACATGTTATGTTTTATTTCTAAAAAAGCAGTGCCTGGAATCATTAATGTTAATTTGTTAATATTAATGTTAAGTTATAACTTAATTCATAAATGTTAATTCTAAGTGAAAATTATCAAATTCATTTGTTACATTACTTGTTAATAACAATGCAGTAGTAGTTTTAAATTTATAAATTGGTGAATGGTCCAAACCCTAAAATACCACCCAAAGTAAAAAATTTAAATAATATGAAATATTAAATGTTACTCAAACAATTATCATTGTTAGATAACAATTTTCATTAATACAGAATGTAACAAGTTATATTTAATTGATTGTTCCCAAATCTGGGGAAAAGTTATATAATGTTATGCATCTTTTCTCTCAATGTGAATACCTCCTTGAACTCCAGAAAATTTATAAGATACATTTTCCCTCCGTCAGTTTAGCAGTATAACAGAATACGAATAAATGATGAAATTTTATCTGAAGTAATTGTTTAAAATACCCTGTCATTTAATACCCTATTAAAATACCCTATCTTCAAAATGTGCAGAAATGTCTTCTTGGAAACAGATATTATAAGTATATCTGTTTCTTAGAGCATCATACAAGATGTTCAGCTCCTAAGAGTCACTAGATAACAGTGTGGGGGTGCCATTCCCAAGGTTGCTAAACTGTTGGCTTAATCTACAGTAATAGGGCAAGCCCTCCTGGATGATGTCACAGCTGCTTCTGAGGGCATGACTGCCCACCATTCTTCTTTCTCATAGGTGACAGAGAGCTTGCTTAATTGTCTTGGATTGTTAACAGTCATTAACAGTGGTCTTTCTGGTGTTTGTGGTCCCGATCTTTCATCCCTCCGCAGAAAGAATGTAGCTAGAGATGCAGACAAAGCACGCTTTGTCTCAGTTCATGGGTCATCAAACTTGACAAATCATGAATCACGAATTGCCCCCCCCAGTGACCCAACGAACAACGAATCAATTCATCATTTGTCAGGTGTTTTTTGTTTTGTTTTGTTTTGTTTTTTTGCTTTCCCTCCCTTTGCTAGGGGAGCAAGAGGAGGGGAAAGGGGATCAAAGTGATCCCCCAGCATGGTTGTGTTTTCTATGCCCCATGAGGCATAACAAGAGGAGGGAAACCAGGGATCAAAGTGACCCTGCAGTATTTGATCCCTTTCCCCCATCCTCTTGCTATTCCTGCAGGGCATAGCAAGAGGAGGGGAAAAGGGATTAAGGCAATCCTGCAGCCCCGGGCTGGGGGATCCCTTTGATCCCTCTTTTGGTCCCTTCCCTCCTCTTCCTATGCTGTACAGGGATAGGAAGAGGAGGAAAGTGGAACCAATCCATCCCCCAGCCCCAGGGGTGGGATTCCCTTCGGGAAGGCTTTAGCAAGCCACCTAAAGGGGAAAAAGTCCCCCCTGAGGAACAGCTGATCTGCGGGGGCATAAGCAGATTGAAAATGAAGGGACAAATATAAAAGGGTTATATTCATTGCTTTGTATTCATTGGGGTCTCTGGACCCCAAGAATATGAAGCAACTAATATCTGATGAATCAGGGATATTTAAGGAATATCCTGATTTGTTTCTATATTCGTTCACGTGTCTAATTATAGACTCCATCCCAGCTCATGTGTTACAATGTGTGGTTTCTAATAATCTGCATTTTCAAGATGCTTACTGTATAATGATTTCAAGAAAACCAAGCTGTCTTGCTGTAATATAATAGCCCTGTACAGGAGGTACAGATATCAAAACCACATCCAGCCAGTTTCCTGCTGAATACACATAATTAATAATTATGCACAGTTAAGATTATTGTGAATTATGGTGACCTTCCCAAGGCTTTCTTGATATAAAATTCTCAGAAGTGGTGTACAAATCTCTCCTTCTGATGGCACTCTGAGATATTGCAGCTTGCTCAAGGCTGTTCAAATGGCAAGGTACATAGTCCCATCAGCCACATATTCTGCTGGCACTTGATGAAATGCCAGATGATTGAAGGAGGGTTATTGTTGTCCCTATCTTCAAAATGGCAGAAAGGGAACAACAGACGAGTCAGCCTGACATCTGACCCAGGAAACATTCTGGGGCAGATTACAGAGGAGTTAATCTTGAAGCACCTTGAAAACAGGACAGTAATATCTAGAAGCCTACACAACCTTATCTACTGTACAGTGGTGCCTCACATAACCCTCGCTATGTGAAAACATCACTGTACGGAGTGGGGAAGCCCATTCCAAATGGGCAAAAAACTCACCATTCAGCGATGTTTCCAGGGTCCGGCAGCCATTTTCGCGCCCTCGGTAAGAGAGGGCAGGGCGCGAAAATGCTGCGCGCGGCCATTTTGAGGCTTCCGGCAGCCATTTTGGAACCGTCGGTCAGCTGTTCCCCCGACATCGCAATGCGAAGATCGGTAAGCGAAACGCTTACCGATCTTCGCAATGCGAGTTTTGCCCATAGGGGCCATCGGTATGCGATCCCATTTGCGATTGCAAATACCTCATCGCTATGCGATTTTGTCGTTCTGCGGTGCGCTCATTAAGCAAGGCACCACTGTATATGTAACATGCACAGTTGATCAGAAGATATTGCTAGATCCCTGTTGAACTGGACTAAATCAAGAAAGATCTCCAAGCCCCAGTGGCTTAATAGCAATGGCAACAAAGTGACCTTCCCACCCATTACTGACCGAAATTACACTGTTGAAAGTGTAAAATGATTTTTGTGTGCAAAGACTAACACTACTCTGTTCTGGAAATTTGAATGCATTACTGGCATCAAAATCCTATTATGTGTCTTATGCAACATACTCCAGCTTTAGAAATTGGGATTCTAGTTAAACACAAACACACACACACACACAAACACACACAGAGAGAGAGAGAGAGAGATGCATGCACATCTCTCACAACTGTCTGTCCACATTTTTGTGAGAATATTCATTAGAGTTTAAACCCTTGTAGATTATGTTATTGTCACTTACGTAGCCTTGCCAACAACTTTTGAATTTAATCTCCCAGCACTCTGAAAGTATCTATTTAACTTCTAGCCATTGCCCAGACAGAAACAGGGTTAGGAATGCTCAGTAGACTGAAATTTGGTGACCCCTTCACTTCCTTATATGCCATTTGTGGGCCATAAAAATTGGCATGTTATAAATACTGCAACCAGCTGGATGGTTTGAAGTGGACTTTGACTTATCCTCTTCCTTTCTATTATTTCTGGCAGATGTTTACTTCTATAATATTTGCTGCAATAGGAGTTGTGGGTGCTGGATATAACTTCATCGTTTCGGCAGTTGCTTTGAACAAAGGACCCAAATGCCAGTTTCTGAACAGCACTACAAATACATGGGGTTATCCATTTCATAATGGGTAAGATCTTTTTACACTTTGTCTGAGATGCAAAAATTGAGCCCAGCGTGTCATGTTGTTGTATGCAAGGTCTCATCTCTGTATGTAATGTTAAACACCAATGTTTACCAAATTTTGCCATCAACATTTTCAAAGCTATTCTTCAATACACTATCCAGTTCTAAGTGAGAACCTCCATCCATGTAACCCTCAGTCTCTGTAAACAAAGTCAGCTATAGCTATAGACTGGTTATATGATTTGCATCTTAAAATAAAGTCAAATATAAGCCTTTGACTGTGTGGACCACAACAAACTATGCCAAGTTCTTAAAGAAATGGGAGTGCCTGGCTACCTTATCTATCTCCTGAGAAATGTATATGTGGGACAGGAAGCAACAATTAGAACTGGATATGGAACAACTGATTGATTTAAAATTGGGAAAGGAGTACGACAAGGCTGTATATTGTCTCCCTGCTTATTTAACTTATATGCAGAATACATCATGCGAAAGACAGGACTGGATGAATCCCAAGCCGGAATTAAAATATCAACAACCTCTGATGTGCAGATGATACCACTCTAATGGGAGAAAGTGAGGAGGAATTAAAGAACCTCTTAATAAGGGTAAAAAAGAAGAGTGCAAAAAATGGTCTGAAGCTCAACATTTAAAAAAAACCCTAAGATCATGGCCACTGGTCCCATCACCTCCTGGCAAATAGAAGGGGAAGATATGGAGGCAGTGAAAGATTTTACTTTCTTGGGTTCCATGATCACTGCAAATGGTGACAGCAGCCACAAAATTAAAAGACACCTGCTTCTTGGGAGGAAAGCAATGACAAACCTAGACAGCATCTTTAAAAGCAGAGACATCAGATTGCCGACAAAGGTCCAGCATAGTCAAAGCTATGTTTTTTTCCAGTAATAATGTATGGAAGTAAGAGCTGGACCATAATGAATGTTGACCACCTAAGAATTGATGCTTTTGAATTGTGGTGCTGGAGGAGATTCTTGAGAGTCCCCTGGACTGCAAGGAGAACAAACCTATCCATTCTAAAGGAAATCAAGCCTGAGTGTTCACTGGAAGGACAGATCCTGAAGCTGAGGCTCCATTACTTTGGCCATTTCATGAGAAGAGAAGACTCCCTGGAAAAGACCCTGATGTTGGGAAAGTGTGAAGGCAAGAAAAGAAGGAGACAACAGAGGACGAGATGGCTGGACAGTGTCATTGAAGCTCCCAACATGACTTTGACCCAACTCCGGACAGCAGTGGAAGACAGGAGGGCCTGGCATGCTCTGGTCCATGGAATCACAAAGAATTGGACACGACTTAGCGACTAAACAAGAACCAAAAAAAATAGCCACAGATTTGTTTTATTATATTTATCCTAATTAACTTCTGTAAGGACCTCAACAACGTTCTTATTCCAGTACATCAGACTGAGATGTCCAACACACTATTTAGCCAAGTTATAGTATTGGATCAGTTTCAGTTAGTAAAGCAGAAGATGTGGATAAGCCACTTGCACTCTGTAAAGCCACTACCTCTCCTTTACATCTTTGCCCACCTTGACTATTAAAATCTGCTAAAGATACAGACATGCTGCCTATCTTCAATAATGGACTGGACTAGAGCCAATAAACTCAACCATCCAGGCAAGATGGAGATCCCACTGTTTGGAGGATTGTCAGACTGGTTAAATGGAAATCTATCCTGCCTTGATGGGGTTACACTCTCTCTGAAGGATTGAGTCCATACCTGGGGATCTTGGATCCAAACTCTTGGATACAACACTCTATGGACCAAGAGTGCCTTCTACCAACTTTGATTGGTTTCCACCTACCAAAATAAAACAGGCCTAGCAGCAGTGATTCAGGAATTCGTAATCTCAAAAATAGACCACTAAAATGCTTCCTATGTAGGGCTGCCCCTGAAAATTGTATGGAAACGTCAGCAGGTCCAGAATGTGACAGCCAGATGGATCACTGGGACTAGTAAATGTGCTAACATATCCCCAGTCATGGCAAACCTTCATTGGCTCCTTGTTAGTTTCCATGCTCAGTCCAAATTGCCAGTTGTGACCTAAACAGCCCTTATCAGTTTAGGACCTTGATACTTGTCGGAACATCTCTGCCAGAAATTAGCTATCTGTCCCAACCACTCCTCTCAATTTATAAAAAGTCCAGAGATATTCATAGCATATAAATAAATAATACATCCGGACAGACTTGTGTGGGCACATCCCCCCAAGAGAGCTGTACTTTAAGAGTAGAAGGTTCTTGGCTCTATCCCTATTCTCCTCCTCCACACAATTTTTAAAGCATCAGATGGCTGGTAATGGGAAGACCCCAGACAGCCACTATCAATTAGAGTGGATGTAACTACACAGAATCTTCTAGCATCTTCCTCTGTTGCGAAAACAAAGTTGGGCAAAACTTCTAGGACTGCCTCTACTCCAAGACTAGCAGGAGTTATATGCTTCAACGCAAAGGAACAGAGAATGCTCTAGCTGTTAGACAACTCACCTAAGGCAGGAAAGACAATTCATCCTGTGACACTGGAGTAAAACCTGATGCCTTTTGCTGATTCAACAACTCTGCAGTCTCCACTTTGGGACCTCACTTTTAACACAGATCCTGACACAGTTACATTTAGTCAGGAAAGTTGGGGGGGGGAATCTTCCGGTTGCTTCCTTCCCTATCGTATAAAGGTCTGAAATACCTACTTAGACCAAGCTCAAAAGCTCACCTGGTTTTAATATTTTAGTGGCCCAATAAAGTTAATACCATCCCTGTTTTTGAATATTATAGAAAGATCACATGGCTTTTTTTTGTTGTTGTTCCTGTATATTGTTTCCACATGAAAAATACAAGATCATGGTGGAATCACTATGGCCTGTTTCATCTTTCCTCACCTGCCTATTATTTTGAAGTAAATTATAAATAAAGACTATCCCTACTCACGTAGGTTTCTACATATTTAATTCTTTTCTTTTCCCCCCCTTTTCCTCTTGTGACAAAACCTGTCACAAAACGAATAGGAAACTCAGGGCCTAACCACACAGGCCATTTGAATCATTTCAATTTCGAACTTCATTTATACATATATATATGTATAGTCCTGAACTTTGAACAGGTTTTGTAGGTTATACGTGCCTACCCAACGAAACCGAGTCATTTTTCGTTCTGCTTCAGAAGCATGCTACTCTAAAATTCCTTTTTTGTTGTTGTTAAAAATACCTAAATGATACATCACTAACGCAGCATTTAAATTCATGTGAAAAGCAGTTAGAAGGCAATGCTGGAAGATGTTTCATCCTGCAAAGTTTCCCTTGGCAGTTCTTTGATTTTAGGGTGCTTTGTTTCTCAAAGAACACTATGTGAGTTTTTTCTCCACATTGATAAGGGAAGGGAGGAGCAAGGATGAATGTTATAATTAGGAAGCAGTAAACTCTTAGGGGAGAGAATACCAATAATATCACTTAGCATCTGGGGAAAAACGGGGAAAAACAAGCATGGTGGTCAAGCAGTGCCTGTGGTCCCAATGACACAAATAACACATCATAAAAACTGATATCACTAGTGTAGTAGATACTTGACTTAGGCAAGCTTTGTGTCTGAGAAATGAGACCCGCAAACAAAGCTGAGTTTAGCTCCAACAGCACAATCATAAAACAAAGCAATTTGGTGAGATACAGAGGTGAGAAAACTTTCTCTGTGATGATCATATACGTATATTTCTACAGTAAAAGAATTCCTTCTAATGACCACATTAAAATCCTATTGAAATAAAGGACATTGCCTAAGTCTTAGAGTCAATTTTCCATTCATTAATGAGATACTAGTTGTGTTCTTGAGTGCATGCCCAATAAGGTGTGTGTGCAAGAACTAGCACTTCGTTAAAGAGTGGCAATTTGTCACCAAAACTTATGCAATTTCCCTCACACAAGTCGAAAATGGCGTGAGGATTCTGACTGCTTTATCTGTAACATTACCTGTTGTTTGAGTGAACTAGTTACAACTTGTGCATGTGGGTATGCGTGCCTGCACAACTACCATTGAAATAAGGTGCAACGTGGATACAAATAAGGCTGTGGTGGCTAAGCTGTCCAGCATATTGTGTTGACAGTGGATAAAATTTTATTTTTCTTTCTTTCTTTCTTTCTTTCTTTCTTTCTTTCTTTCTGAGACAGGAATTACCTGGGTGAGTCTGCCATGTGGGACACATGTGAGTCACCAAAGTCCATCGTGAGCTGGAATCTGACGCTTTTTTCTCTGCTGCTCATCATGGGCGGAGTTCAAATGGTGCTTTGTGCCATTCAAGCTATCAATGGACTCTTTGGAACTCTCTGTGGGGACTGCAAATGTGGATGCTGTGGGGTAAGACTACTTCTGTTGGTCATATGATAGATATACACGCTATATACAGTTTGTCTTACTGCCAAGGAGGACCTTTAGGCACAACAAGGCAGCCACCCCAGATAAATCCTCCCCTGCCTGGTAACCTCGTTTCAGCTGTAGAGGAGCTCACTGTCCTGTTGACAGTGTTAACATTTAGAAGGAAGGAATGGGAGGGAGTGCCATCTTGTGTTTTTACCTCAGGTGACAAAATGCCTTGGGTCAGCTCAGCCTCTTTGCCCTTTATTATAGCAACTTATTTTCTTTTGAGCTCTAGCATTTAGCAGGTGATATGTCTACTTCCACTTCAGAAAAAGCTTCACTTGCTAAAATGTAGCTTTTAAACTAACTGCTTTTTAAAATTTTCCTCCCCGTATGAAGAAATATAAAATTGTCCCAAGATTGGCTTGAAGTAGCACCGGAAAAGGAATCCAGATGTTTGTTTTATGTACTGTAGACTGTAATATAGGAAGTAGCTTTGCTAATGATGCATAGCTAGAATGCAGGACAGATCTGTATCGTTCTCTCCCCTGAGGCCGTTGTCACCACGGAATTATGTATCGACTTGTTAAACCTCTTACTTTTGGAGGCAGATTGATTTTTGTTCAAAACAGAGCTTGAAATATTTGCCTCTTTTTTGGATGATACCTCGCAGAATCTCCCAAACAAGTCACTTTGCCCCAAAACATTACATAACTGAGCACTGATACAAAATCTGCTGGGCAGCAAAGCAGAATTCAGCTGTATTTTCTGCTAATATATTCCATGGAAAGCATTCATTTCTCCCTCAGTTCTTTAGATCAGGTTTGGTGTAATCTGGATATTCTTCATCTTCAACATGCCCATATTCTTCAACATGTTCACCCAAATTTTGGATGCATACAAATGGCAAGACTGCCAGGTATATTTACACACATGCTTTTTGTGCATCCATTAACCTACCAATCATTTTGGGTTGCTGTTCTTTGAAATAGCCTCCTGTAAAATGATTCTGTTTGAGCTCTAGCAGTTAGCAGGTGATATGTCTATTTCCACTTCAGAAAAAGCTTCACTTGCTAATTTCTGCATACATCACACAACTAGCTGTCCCTACTAAAGACTCTCCCTGAGTTGGCTGAACTCCACTCCCTATTTTGTTTGTCTATGGCCATGATGCCTCTTAGCATAAAATGTCCATTGTCACTTTGCTCAATGGCTGCCTGTAAGTGGGAGAGAAATGAGTAGCCTTCCAATAACAGTAGAAGAACTTGGCAAATTCTTCCTAGACCTCTGCCCCAATATCACCATATCATGCAGATACCATGATGACATCAACATGACGTTGATTCACACACCCCATCTTCCTCAGCCAGATGAATGGATTTAGACATCCCGAAAGCTCAGACCCATATTTATGCCCTTTTGGTTGACTGAATGCATTAAAATGGATTAAACAAGAAAACTATAGCCAACACTGCCAGAACAGAAACAGAAGGCATACAGTGCACATTGACTGAACAGCATTGACTTGAAGGATTAAAGAGCACCTGCAAATTAGAATTTAGCCGCTTTCTTGCATATTTTTCAAACAGTAAGAACATAATAAAGGATTGTGAGGGGTGCTTGTCTGTGTTTGAACTGTTACTAGTGTTGACCAACACATAAGTGTCTGTTTAACTCTTTTCTTTTAGGGAGATGGACCAGTTTAGTGCAAATGGAGTCTGATGAAGTCACCTATGACCACCATGAAAATGACCTTCCAAACATTTCTTTTGAAACTATGGGCCAAGCACGTTCCATCATGAAGCAGAATGAAGGGGTCCTTCCCTATTGTTTAAAAGGAACTCTGACTGCTTTTGCCTTCCCGTTGACTTTTCACATCTTCTAATGACTTTAGCAGCTGTTTGGATTAGAGTATATTTATTTTTGTAATTGGTGTTTTCTCCAAATTTTGAGGGACTAGGAAAGCACTGTGCCTCCTTCCCTTACCAATTCACTTTTCTAGATTGGGGGCTAAGGGGAGAAAACACTGTATTGTCATGAATGGGAAGAGGGAACTTAATCCCCAGCAGGATGAATGAATTTGCATTTGCACTGACTTGCACATTTTTGAGAACACACAGAGACACACAGACACACGAGGGATCCTGCTTCTGTTCCTTAACCAAGTTGCTTTCCATCTCAGTTGCCAATGTTTTTCTGCCTGGTACCTATTTCCTTCTAGGCTGCTGTTGAGCAGCCTGGTCATGCTCATAAGTAACCTCTCCAGGAATAGACTAATTCAGGCTGCCATGCATGCACAGAAACAGAAGTAAAGAAGGCATAGCTTTCCCCATCATTGTGTCTTTGTAGTGCAGAAAGAAAGATCTATCTGTTGATTTTTGTTGGCTATTTCCAACAAGAATAGCTAAGTTTTGATCTTATTATAGTGGGAAAGCAAAAGCAAAGCATGTTGGTTATATACGTCCCCATTGCACTATCTGGGTGGTTTACAAATGAGTGATGCAGACTATATGTTTGCCCCCTCAATCTCAGAGAGCTGGGTACTCAGTTTATCAACCTTGGAAGGATGGAAGGCTGAGTTCACGTTGAATCAGCTACCTGAGCCTGCAAGGTCCTGAGCAGTCTTGTCTGCAGTATTGCAGTTTTACCACTGTACCACAAGGAGCTGGCCTTATGTACAGCTTTAAAATGGTAAAAACCCCTCAGGGTCTCTCACTCTTCATCTTCTCCAGGTTGGGAAGAGAACATTCCCCAATCCAGTGCTCCCTGGATGCATTGGACAGAAGTTCCCCAACAACTGGCTATGTACAATGAGAGTTGTAGTCTAAACACATCTAAAAGATGCAGGGCCATAGTCTTGGGTTGCGAATGATTATACAGTACAGTGGTGCCTCGCTTGATGACATTAATTCGTTCCAGCGAAATCGCTGTAGAGCAAAAATGTCGTCAAACAAAATAAAAAAACCCATTGAAACGCACTGAAAACCGTTCAATGCATTCCAATGGGCTGTACATAACTCTCTCCATCATCATATGCTATGAAATGTAAAATATTGTCTCTTCTGTGAACTGCCAAGTGGCAACAAGATACCCCTGATTTCAGAACGGTTCCAGCATTTCCTGGCCTAACATTGCATAGCCCATGCTTCTTAACTAGCCCATCTTCAGCCAGAAGTCAATTACATATCATTTCAGCCCAAAAGAAACCCAGTGCTTTTAATCACTACACATCAAGAGAATTTCAACAAAGGCAGCTTTTCCAGTCAACTATGAAACAAGAAGCCTATGCTTCTGTGCCTTTCCTATCCCTAACAGACATCTATTACAGGCTTTGAAATGTATTCAAAGCAACTCCAGTGTGCTCTCCAAGTATATGGACTGTATGATCTGAACTCACAAAGGTTAGCAGCTTATAGCTGCCCCTGCTCCTTCATTTATCTGCTTGTTTGAGCCTTTCATGACAAAAAAGCAAAGCTAAAAAATGTTGGTAATCCTGGTCAGGCATCAGGACTCATGTTTTTTTGTATAAATTGTGTGCAGGCATGGACACATGCACACACAAATTATCTGCTGGTACAACTCCAGGTGCATTCTATATTCTACTCAAGGCTCATAGAGTGCAATTCCATAAGTCTCAATGTCTTTTCCCAATGATTTATTTGTATACATTCTAATATTAAAAGGATTGTACTGTGGGGGAGGAATCCATAAATCATGAAAGTATTTTCTTGTCTCGTCTTTTTGTATAAACTCAATATATGCTGTACATGATATTTGTAGGGGTTCTCTTTTACAGACAGGGGCTGACATATTGACATTTTTAGACTGAATTCTGTGCATGATCATGAACACAACTTCTATACATCTTTATTTGGAAGTACATCCCACAAAGTTTAGAGGGAGTTTTGTCCAAGGGATTTAGGAATGGATAGCAAATTAAGATTCCAGAAGGGTCACAGAAACACTAGTTTTTTTCCTCTGTTCACTTTAGAGCAGCCTTTCATAACCTGATGCCAGCTAGATGTGTCAATGTGTTAGACGATAACTCCCATGGCATCAGGCTATAGCAGGCTGTTTCAGAACACCGTCATTTTCACAAGCTGTTCACAACTGGTTTTTGTTTAGTCGTTAAGTTGTGTCCGACTCTTCGTGACCCCATGGACCAGAGCACGCCAAGCCCTCCTGTCTTCCACTGCCTCCTGGAGTTGGGTCAAAATCATGTTGGTAGCTTCAATGACACTGTCCAACCATCTTGTCCTCTGTCGTCCCCTTCTCCTCTTGCATTCACACGTTCACAGCATCAGGGTCTTTTCTGGGGAGTCTTCTCATCAGGTGGCCAAAGTATTGGAGCCTCAGCTTCAGGATCTGTCCTTCCAGTGAGCAGTCAGGGTTGATTTCGTTCAAAATGGATAGGTTTGTTCTCTTTGCAGTCCAGGGAACTCTCAAGACTCTCTTCCAGCACCACAATTCAAAAGCATCAATTCTTCGGCGGTCCAGTGCTGCTCCAGCTCTCACTTCCATACATCGCTACTGAAAAAAACATAGCTTTGACTATGCAGACCTTTGTTGGCAAGGTGATGTCTCTGCTTTTTAAGATGCTGTCTAGATTTGTCATCGCTTTCCTCCCAAGAAGCAGGAGTCTTTTAATTTCGTGGCTGCTGTCACCATCTGCAGTAATCATAGAGCCCAAGAAAGTAAAATCTTTCACTGCCACCATATTTTCCCCATCTATTTGCCAGGAGGTGATGGAATCAGTGGCCCTGTTCTTAGTTTTTTTTTATGTTGAGCTTCAGACCATTTTTTGTGCTCTCCTCTTTCACCCTCATTAAGAGGTTCTTTAATTCCTCCTCACTTTCTGCCCTAATTCCTCTGTGTATTCTTGCCACTTCTTCTTGATTTCTTCTGGTTCTGTGAGGTCCCTACCATTTTTGTCATTTATCATGTCCATCTTTGCACAAAAGGTTCCTTTAAGATCTCCAATTCTCTTGAATAGATCTCTGCCTTTTCCCTTTCTATTATTTTCCTCTTTTTCTTTGCACTGTTCATTTAAGAAGGCCCTCTTGTCTCTCCTTGCTATTCTTTGGAAGTCTCCATTCAATTTTCTGTAACTTTCTCTAGCTCCCTTGCATTTTGCTTCCCTTCTCCTCTCTGCTATTTCTAAGGCCTCGTTGGACAGCCACTTTGCTTTCTTGCATTTCCTTTTCTTTGGGATGGTTTTCGTTGCTGCCTCCTGGACAATGTTACGAGCCTCCATCCATAGTTCTTCAGGCATTCTGTCCACCAAATCTAGTTC